GGAGCGCGCTTTTATTCCGAAAATGATAATAGGACTGGACGCTTTTGTTTGCATTTCTAGAAGGCAAAACATAAACACAAGCTCTCGCAGTGGAAAAATATAGGTCACTATACTAAACTTGCTGTTGGATTGGCAGCGGAGGAATAAAAGAATGAATTTTTTGAGCTGCCACTGCGAGATGCTGCTATTTATTTTTACCATAACAACAATAATAATGCAAGATGAATGAAAACCACTACATCAAGTTGAATTAGAAGTTAAGCTGTTAAAACTAATTTACAAAATATGTACAGTATAACAATCTGTTTAGGTATTAAATATTTAAAATAAAAAATTATTTATAAATTTGTAAAAATAAAAATACGTTTTATTTTATTCACTTCATTAACATTTAGAGTTTTTTGCTAATTTATTTCATATTTTTTTTTTATACATACATTATAGGGTAATGTTTTTACATTGTTATAAGAAGCCAAATTAATTAATTTTGTAAACAAATGTTTTAAGTAACTCAAATTTATATAAACAATTTGAGCGAATTTTTATCATACAAACTTATTCATCCATAATGAATTATCTTGCTAAAATGTTTCTTCAATGTATTTTTTAGTTTGCAAATTTTTTTCAGACAATTACATGAGTTAAAATAAAAAAAAACATTAAATTTATAGTAATGAACAAGCTATGTAGGTAATTTTCTAAAATATAATACCAACCATCCCCAAATTTCACCATTTTTTTTATTATTATTTTTTTTTTTTAATTTTTGCGGAATTTTCTCCAGTCTCCAAACTTTTGCTATTTCAATCTTGCTGCGACCTCATTCATTACACGCTGAAGCATTTTATTATGTCATCGCAGCCGACTTTTTACCTCAAATGATTTATATCGCGAGGAATTTTGATCGTCCTGCACAAAAGAGAGCCGGCCGGCGTCTGCCCGCCGCCGTTTTGGAAAAACATCTTGCATGACAAAGTCGCTTTTGCCCACCCGAAAGCGTGCATGCGGCCGATCCTGAAGACTCTCTCAGCTGGCGATTGCATAATTTACGGCGTGGTCACGGCGCATAAAAAATATAAAACGCCATTATTTTGAGCACTAGGCAAATAAACGCTCGCGCCCGCCGCACCAACAAAAAGCTCTCGTCCGCCTGTTCAGCTTATTTCTGCACCCGGACTATTAATAAATAATTTAGTATGCAATGGAGCCGCCCGCCCGCAGTGGCAAAACTGCCCGTCCCGCGTTGCCCACCACAAAAATTCGGATCAAGTTGGCTCTCCGGTAAACGTTTTGACGTGGCCTACCACAGAGGGGCCAATTTTGGACTTACCCTTTTTTATTTAAAATTGCTGGTTTAGAGAAAGAAAAGTACTTATTATTAATTAAATTACGTCATTTGTATTAAATTTAGTGCATTTAAGGCTACCCAACCAAATAGGTGGATAATATAATTTATAAAAATTTAATTATTTATTTAAATAAATAATTTTTTCGAGATTTCTATTTTTTAAATCCTTAAATGTAGAAAATTGGGGCCTTTGAATAATATAATTTAGCCTCTGCATTATGCTAAATAATTTAATACAAAGTAATAGGTAATCTGTAAAAATGCTGGATATTTTCTTAACAATGATCTACTTATATTTTCAATTATTTCTTATCATGGTCAAATAATACCAGCCCCAGCCACAAAGGCCTCGTGGTAGGCGCGCAGAGCGACTTTGCGCGGCACTGCCGCGAAGCTTCACGAGTGACGTAACTGGGGAAGGAAAAACCATGCCGCTCCCAGCTGCTCCCATCTAAATGCATTGTTTTGCACTCTTTGCCGCGTTTTTCGGTCAAATATTGTCGATTCAAGGCGGTTTTGAACATAATCTGCAGGTGTCAGACTAGTTCGGAACCTAGGGAAGCTTTGGCAACGAAGAAAAAGCATCTCAAATCAGCTGGAAGCACGAAAAGCCACGAAAATACGGCCAATATCTCCGTGGCGGCGAAGTTGCGGCTCAAAAAAGCAGCGGATAACTCGGATTTTTTACGTTTTGTGAGTCGATATGTGCTTCAGTGCCGGGATGTCAACAAATTAAGTCGTTTCTGATCATATTTGTGCATGTCCGATTGTTTTTTGTGAGAGAAAAGCGGAAACGAGTTTAGCAACCGGACAAGTTGTCCCACGGAATTAACCAATATCTCGCTCTGATTCAATGTTTTAGAATTTTGGCGATTGAAAAGTTTATATTTTTAGAATAATTAAAGCATGAGGAAAATCGCTGTGTTATTTATTTTTTAATCCGAGCAGCCGTTGTCTCGCTATGAGCATAATTACGCGGCGGCCACTGCTTTGTTGCTTCGCTCGGCTCTCTCTCGCTCGAGTCGCCCGACTGCTGCACTCGCGGGTGGAGAGCGGCGCGCTCGATTAATTAGACGTTTGCGCGAATTTTTTTTTTTATTAGTAAGCGTTGAGATAAATCGTTCAAATTTTCAGCATTGGTAGCAAACTAACTGAATTAATTTTTTATTTTTTATTCTTAAAAAAATATTTATCTGGAGCAAAGTTATTAATGTTTCCGCGAGAATTTTGTTCTTTTAATTTTTAAATTAGACAAAAAATTTTAAAAGTACAAACCCTAACAGAAAATTGTAGCTAATTAAATTCTCTACAATTTACTTTGCATTCGTTTTGTTGTCAAAATTTTTTTAATTTACCAACGGGATGACCAAAGTCAAAACATTACTTTTTCTCATTGAAATAAATTTTTTAGATTTTTTCTAAGATAGCCAATCGATTGGAAATTTAATTTTGATTTAAGATCTAAAATTTCATCGCAATATGTTGAGCCGTTTAGAAATAAGAGCGTCTGAACTAAAACCTGCTAATCAGCCTTGACGGCAGTTTTAGGGGGCATCAGTTAGTACTTTGTGATTTCTAAACGGCTCAACATATTGTGATGAAATTTTAGTTCTTAAATCAAAATTAAATTTCCAATCGATTGGCTATCTCAGAAAAAATCTAAAAAATTTATTTCAATGAGAAAAAGTAATGTTTTGACTTTGGTCATCCCGTTGGTAAATTAAAAAAATTTTGACAACAAAACGAATGCAAAGTAAATTGTAGAGAATTTAATTAGCTACAATTTTCTGTTAGGGTTTGTACTTTTAAAATTTTTTGTCTAATTTAAAAATTAAAAGAACAAAATTCTCGCGGAAACATTAATAACTTTGCTCCAGATAAATATTTTTTTAAGAATAAAAAATAAAAAATTAATTCAGTTAGTTTGCTACCAATGCTGAAAATTTGAACGATTTATCTCAACGCTTACTAATAAAAAAAAAAATTCGCGCAAACGTCTAATTAATCGAGCGCGCCGCTCTCCACCCGCGAGTGCAGCAGTCGGGCGACTCGAGCGAGAGAGAGCCGAGCGAAGCAACAAAGCAGTGGCCGCCGCGTAATTATGCTCATAGCGAGACAACGGCTGCTCGGATTAAAAAATAAATAACACAGCGATTTTCCTCATGCTTTAATTATTCTAAAAATATAAACTTTTCAATCGCCAAAATTCTAAAACATTGAATCAGAGCGAGATATTGGTTAATTCCGTGGGACAACTTGTCCGGTTGCTAAACTCGTTTCCGCTTTTCTCTCACAAAAAACAATCGGACATGCACAAATATGATCAGAAACGACTTAATTTGTTGACATCCCGGCACTGAAGCACATATCGACTCACAAAACGTAAAAAATCCGAGTTAGCTGCTTTTTTGAGCCGCAACTTCGCCGTCACGGAGATATTGGCCGTATTTTCGTGGCTTTTCGTGCTTCCAGCTGATTTGAGATGCTTTTTCTTCGTTGCCAAAGCTTCCCTAGGTTCCGAACTAGTCTGACACCTGCAGATTATGTTCAAAACCGCCTTGAATCGACAATATTTGACCGAAAAACGCGGCAAAGAGTGCAAAACAATGCATTTAGATGGGAGCAGCTGGGAGCGGCATGGTTTTTCCTTCCCCAGTTACGTCACTGGGAAAGCAACAGCAGCGCCAGCAAAACTCGCTCTCCCCCACCACGTCTCCTGCTCATGCGTGGCTGGGTCTGAATAATACAATGATAATGATTTACTGAATTTACATTAATAAATTTGGTCTCTAAATTAATGAAATTAATGATCGACTGTCACTACGATTTATTTTATTTCTTACCGATAGTTATAAATAAAAATATGTGGTATATCTATGAAAATTAAATATAATTATATTCCTTACAATTTAAATTAAATAAATATTACAAATGATATTATAAATTTTATTCTAATAATTAAAAACTTTCATAATATTTTATAGTTTTGATGAAAAAATTATCTATAAAAATAAATAAAAAAACATTATTAACACAACAAAATTCATCAGACACTGTCATGTTCAACATGCATACATTTCTTGTTTTGTTTTACGCGCAGTTTTGACAAACAGAATATTATAAAATTAATTTTTTATTTCTTTCTTATTAAAACTGGTTGAAATTTAATATTATTTTTGGTTTTTAGTTCATTATTCAGAACTCATTCGTTACTCATAATTTAAAACAACTTTTGCAGCTGATTTTTTGCTGTCATAAAGAGGAATTTCAGCATTGCAATGCCAATAATAAAACAAGCCCTAATTAATTACAACTAAAATTAACACATAATTGTTTCATTAAGATTCACCCGATCTACTTTCCCTCCACACACGAATTGGAAGCACTTTTTTGGCATTTGTTTTGGAGGGAAAAAGGCTGACCGAGGCCATTCTCCAGTTAATTTGCTCTCACTTAACGAGAATTAAGAGGCGTCCTAATGGCCTAGTGGTGGGGCAGCAGCACGCCCCTGCTGGGCTATAAGGGTGCATGCGACGGGTCAGCCTAACTAGCCCGGCCGCGCTGGCGACCAAGAAGTGTTTACTTTCGCGCCGCGAGATATCGAAAGTAGTGCCTTGTATTTACGCGAGCCGTGTGTGTTTGTGTGTTGCAGAGGCGCTCGAGTGCGGTCCAGAGGGCCTCGTCTGCGTCATCCGGAGTCAGCGATGCCGCGCCGCAAGACGCCTCCTCGCCTCTCGATGATGGAGCAGCTACTTCTCTCTACATTCGCATGATTGGTGAGTGCCAATCACTCTTTAAACACAGCCCGCCGCGACCTTGTCTCGCGGAAATTTGCATCCTCACGTCTCATATCACTTCCTTAAAACTTTTTTAAAAGGTGTTTTTTAGACCATGTCCACAAAAAAGTAAATCACAAAAAAAACGGATGAAATTTTTTGTAATATATCGAACCAAAAAGGAATTAACATTTGATAAAGGACCGTGGATTCATATTTATTACAACATTTTTTAATATGATTGGCAGTTTTATTGGTAATCAATTGATCCAAAATCCAAAGGAAAGCGGCCGCATTGCCATCATAAATAATCGATTTTAACTATCGCGTTAAAGCTTTTCTGCATTATATAGTCTTAATCCTATAATTCAAGTGATTTATGAAGATTATCTTGAAAAATATCTTGAATTGGTCTTAAATTTACCAAGATGTTTGTGCTTTAAAAAGAAAAATTATCGAAGCTAATGTTATCATATCAATCATAAAATTAGCATTATTTTCTAATTTTGAGTGAAGATTGACTAATTATTTTTTGCATTTCTAATATCTTTATGATATTATTTGAATTTTTATCTGTTATTATAGGTTGGTGTCGCCAATTTCATGCATTTATAGATTAAATAAAGAGCATTAATGTGCTCATCACTCAAATTGTGACGGTTTTAGGCTGTATTGCCGTGAGCGAGGCCCTCGTTAAAGGCTTATGAATGAATAATGTGTGGCGAAAAGTCGCGCACGAACAAGAAGCGCCCGTGTAACTGAAAGATGACGCAGGGATAATAACCAATTCAATTATTCATCGCGCGCCACCAGAGTATATGGCAAAATCACGCGAAAGCCGTTTTCCGTATAATCAACAGTTGGGTCATTCAAGTAGTCGTTGCTGCCGGACTATTGTCTTTTATCAACGGCGTTGAGCAATTAAGTCCAAGCTCCTTAGCATTGTTCCCAAGTTAGTCCCGATATGTGGTTCAAAGATTAATAGAGCTGGACAATGGCCCACATAGATTCTCAAAAGCCAATGTTTATGTATTGTTCTAAAATTAATTTATTCAATGAAGTTGAATTAAGAACAAAATGTTAAAAATAAAAAACAATACATAATATTATAATTTATATGCAGGAAAAGGGCTCAATTTTTTTTAATAAACTAGGCTTGCTATGGGTTTTATTAATTCTTACTTAAATTAATTCAATATCTCTTCAAGGAAAAAGAAAAAAAAACCTTTAATGTGTGACTCTCTAATTAATTTTTTTTTTAACAAAACAAGATAATAACCATGTTTTTGGAGCGTAAAATTTAAAAAAAAAACTTAGAGAACCAAAAGGTATACAACTTAATTTAAATAATTTTTTTACTCTTTTTTTATTTTGTAAAAATATATGTAATATATTAACACTTCTTTTTTTACACAATATAAAATTTATTTAAATTTTAACATAATTTATTTTTGTTTTATTATTTAATATTGAACTATTTTCATTAAATATTTTATGTTTTTTTAAGTTCAATGAATAATAAAACAAAATTAATACTATAATCAACAAATAGTATCCTCCAAATCGTTTAATTAAGGCTGTTGTAAGATAACTCGTAGGAATACCATCATTTCCTCTTCCCCCCTCAAGATATTGTTCTTAATTATCAAAATGTTTAAATGAAATTAAAATCATGAATAAATTCGTAAAATGACTTACAAAGCAAATCTGCAAACTTTTGATCAATTTTTTGCAAAGGCAAGTAGCAAAAATCATCTGCTTCCGAAAATATATCGTTGGCGGTGAAACTGGAAAAAAACTCACGTCAGCTCCCAGGGGCCGGTGCTCGGAAAAGCGCCAGCGTGAGTATGTGGAGGAAAGTTGTTTGCTCTGATCAATATCGCGGCTGCGTTACGGAAATAGAATCACAATTACTCAGCCAAACAAGACGATTACCAGGGATTGTTCCTCTCGTCACCAAATATAAAAAACTAAATCGATCGTCCCACTGGCCGGCAGCACATTTTTTGGCGCAATAACTCTGCGTCCGACTCGCAAGGGGACCTGCGGAGGCGCGCGGCAAATACACAAACACACGTCGGAATGCGCTTAATTAAATTCCTGGGCCGACGCAGCCAACAGGTGCGCTGAGCGAATTCTTCGGCCAACAACTCACTCGGGGGATGCCCATTTTTCTCCCCCAGCGTCGTAATTCCCTATTTTTTTTCTAGTTTTATTTCACTTTTATTTCGCAACTCTCTCGTTTCCGACAGCCAGAAATTCCGAGCCCTACCTGTTGAGGATTTAATTCGCGGTTTCACCCACGCACCGCGACACCTTTCGCATTTTTACACCCGACGAGTCAGTTAATGATCAAGAGGTGCGGTTTTGCACGATGAATTGAAAGTCCCATTAAATTAATTAAATTCAAAGTAATTAATCCATTTAAATTGCATTGCAAAGATTGGTAAAAAAGTACGGAATCAGAATTCATGAGGATAAAAAGTGGCTATTTGCAAAAATGCTGGAATATTTAATAATAAATTAATTAAATAATTTGAATGCGCAACACTGTTTATTACTTAATTTAGAGAAATTATTATTGCTATTAATTTTCCTCGTGACTAGCAAGTCACGTTAGAGGAAATTTGCAATGTTCCTTTTGCTAGACGCACTCGCAAATAAATCGCTTTCCCAGAGTGCAATTAAGATGTTTGCTTCAGTGGCTCGGATCGTCGCTCTAATTAGAGAAAAGACTGCTAAATCCGCACCCCTGGCTGCCGCTAATTAGGACGAATTATGCCTTATGTAACATGTTACGCCGGCTTGAACATTGGCTGGAATTAACCGTGCCTGGGGCTTCGAGCTAGCGAGCTGGCCTTCCGTCGCCACCGAGTCGGCAAATGAAACGGAGCGGACGTTTTGCACGTGGGGCTAATTAATTAATTTGCACGAAATTGTGAATTTAGTGCGTCGGGAGCGAAATAGAGATGGCATGCAAGCGAGCGAGCGAGCGACCAACTAACGACACCCAGGCCCAGCAACTAACTGGCTTCACTGACGTGAATGAATTGCTCATGTGGGTGGAATCAATGGATGAATTCATATTCATCAAATGCGAAAATTTTGCCCAATATACAAGCAATTAAACCTTAAATATTTCATTTTTGTATATACATTATCAGATTATCATTAACATAATCAATTGATTACAAATAAACTCGTTTTAAAATTTGCTGCTAATGACGTTAGAGTTCTTAGTTTTTCTTCTTCTCCATTATTGAAATATTTCAACTTTGTTATCACAATTTTCGAATTTTCTGGGTTTTTTTTCCATTGTTGTTAGTTTGGAACGTCTTATGCCCAAAAGTTTTAAAATAAATCCGATAAGTTTTTAAAATTCAACATCATATTTTGCAGCTTTTTTCTCTTAAAAAAAAAAAAAAATTGTTGCAATTGAGGCGCGTTGCAATGAGTAATAACATCGTGGTGACCTCTCGTTAGTCTATAAAGTTAATAATATTTGGTCACCATTGAGAAAATAATTTTAAAATATCACAAATTTATTTGTTGATATCATATTTATAAATTCCTGATTGAACACGTAGATTCTGCTAAATATTATTAATAAACGGCTCCACTATTTTATTTTGATAAAATTGATCATTTAATTCGCAGATCTTTAACAATGAAATCAAATATAGATAATTATCCCTTAATATTGAGAAGTTTTAACCATTTTTTAACAGTTCAAAATTCTTCAGTTTTCGACATTGAGCGAAATCTGCATCAAATTTCCATATTTTCACAATTTGTTCCAGCAAAGGTTAGTCCATTTTCCAGAATCCGTTTGCCAGAGAGCGCGCTTTTCGTTTTGCAAACGCAATTCGCGCTGGGATTTCCGGGAAAACATGCACGGTAGCCGAACAAAGGGCGTGCCCTCTTTGGCCCGATTTTCATGTCAAAGAAAGTGCGCAAAACGAGCGGAAAGGATGAGGAAAATTTGAATATTCGCCGGTCTCTCTCTGTCAGCAGCACCGAAAGATAAAACGCCAAGGTCGGGTTTCGGTTGAGCAGCCACAAAGTAAGTCGGGGGTCAAAGGGGCCTGGTTCCCAGCAGAGGGTCGTTGAATGAATTCGCCTTGCGGGCGGGCGAAGGCAAGGATTTGTCGACGAAACCGAATCCCCACAGCCTGATAAGAGATTATTCCGCTGAAATGAGCAACGGCCTGCCAGAGTTTTATTCCAAGTCGGGTCTTTTGGCCGGGCTGATTTGGTCCGGTGTCCGCAAAGCAGTAAAACTCTCCCGTCGGCTTATTATTACAGAGCTCGGAAAAATAAATCTGCACCCCGTCGACGGACCACTGCAGCTCAGTATACGCGTTAATTAACTCGCGCCGCTCTCGCTCGTCCACCTCTGGCGTGTCACATTTTATCTCTTCCCGCAGAGTTCCACTTCAATTTGAATTAAAAACGGTGTGACGCCCAGTGAGGCTCATTTTCCAACACCAAAATCTTTTTTGCATTTTTTGCCACTGGAAAAGAAACGTTATTATGAAATATTAATATGTATATGTGGAAATTCAGCAGCTAAATAGGTGTAATTTAAGAATGGTTGAGCTCAATTTACATTTTTATGGATTTATGATTATTGATGCCAAAAAATAAAGTCAAAACATGTTTCAAACATTTTTAGCATTCAGCAGATAAGCAAATGTAATAATTTATTTTAATTATATTACCTTAAAAAGAAAAAAAAAGTAAAAATGAAGTCTATCAGATCAGATTCACTTCAATGTCCATTTACTCTTCATAATAAAATTATATATTACGGGAATTGTAGAGTGAATTTCCTGAATGCAGAATTTAGTAAACTTTAATCCAAGAAAGGAACACTTCCCTGACACCTAATTAAATAAAGCTACTTTCTCAAATTCAGGGGTTGTATTGAGGCAAATCTGCCGCACTTCTGGTTAGTTTTAGTCTGACGTGCTGTTTTGCAAAAGTGCAAAGTATAGTTC